CCGCCCCGCCCCGCCCCGCCGCACACACGAAGCTTGGGTCCTTCCAGCAAATCTGCGTCCCTCTGAGTCTCATTCTCCAAGAGGGATTAAGAGCCCTCCTGTAACTATAAATCTCCTTTCTCCCAGGTTCCTGGGTGCCACAAACTCTCAGCACCAGCAGCTGGTCCACACTGCTCTCCCCCTGCACACTCTGCCCCACACGGTGCACGAAATACTGCTGCTCCCCTCCCACACCCAAATTACCTTGTGGGCAAGTTTCTTTCCTTCCTTCTTTCCCATTGGTAAGGAGCAGCAAGGCTCCTCCCCTGCCCTCTCGACTCTTCCCTTTCCCAGAGTCCCAAACCCTGCACTGAGGCACAGTCAAGCAATTAAATAATTGGCTACCCCCTCCCACATACCTTAGGCTGGGGATGGTTGAGATTGGACACATACACACACTCAACTGTACACATGCACACCAGACAAACACTAAGGCACTGACACACGCACACTCCTATACCTGCTCACATGCTCATTAGAGTCATGGAGGCTGCCCCAGCACCACACTCAGCCATGCCACAGCCACAGCCACAGCCACAGCCACAGCCACAGCCACTTACACCGGCACATCCACGGGCCCTGCCCACTCTCAATCAGACGCCGACGACGAAAGCATCCTCTCCCACCCTAGCACTAGGGCCAAAAAAGGGAAACAAAGTCTGCGCTTACAGCGCTTTAGGGAAAGGGGTCTTGGGCGCTTCTGCGCACACACATCTTTGCTGGGCTCTTTCAATCTTTCTTCTAAGCTCCTTTCTGAGTCAAAGGAAGGGAAATCCCGACCTGGCCTGTCCTGGCGCTGTGGAAGAAGCTAAACTCGGGTGAGCTCGGGCTCCTCAAAAAGTGCTGGGGACCTGGAGGCCTCGGAGGGCCGAGCAACGCCCAGGGACACTGCTCGGCTCCACATCCCGCCCCGGCCTCCAGCCCAGCTCACCTTGGTCCTTGCCTCTCCCCAGCCAAGCAAAGACGAGACCTGGAACCCAGGACTGAGGGGGGGGGGCGGTTTCAACGGGTCTGGGGTTGACACAAGGAAATGCCCACCTTCTATCCCCGTCTGAGACTACGGTCCCCTGTGTGAAGGCCTCAGAGCCTGTCAGTCGCGGCCTCACTGTACTCTCTCGGCTCCTGAACCCGGTTATCTGTTTGCACCCCGGTTTTCTTTCCTCTGGAGAGTGTGGGTCGCGCCGTCGGTCCCCTAGCCTCACTCTCTCCCGGCTCCTTTACTGCATTCTCAGCCTCGCTCTCCCTGGGGCGCTGGGAGGGGTCTTCGGTCTGGGTTCTCTAGTGTGGCTGGAGGTTTGAATCTGAGGGCGAGGATGGAGGACTGAACCCTAAACCTGAGCCCCCGCCTCCAGCCCCCACCCCGCCAAGCCCACAAGCAAGGCCAACCTCCAGGTTTTGATCCAGCTGAAAAGCCGGAGCGCTGAGGCTGCGTACTTCCCTGCGGACGAGGGGAGCAGGACCCTGGGAGTGGAGGGGGCGTTCCCTGGCGGTCGGGGGAGGGAGTTGATAAACTCCAGGAGAAGATGTAGGGCACTCCTCAGTGCCCAGAGCCACCCCAGCCT